TTCTCCCATCAAATCCTGTATCAAGGCCATAACTCCTGGTGGAGCTAGAGCATGTTTTTAAAGGAAGAAGAATATCAAAGGCCATGAAAAGATTCTACTGGGAGGCAGAACAAGTTTATATGTTTGCTCCTGATTTGTTGTGAAGCCATTACCAGAGCTTGCCAGAATGAAGACAGTCAGACATGAATGTGTCGAAGTGCATGGCATAGATGGGACACAGCCAGGCATGTCTACAAAAATCAGCAAAAATGATGACCATTTTTCACAAAAAAATTCAAATTTTTAATCTAAAGTGCCCAAGCATGGCCCGTGTCTGGGTTCTCACATTGTCTGATTTCTCCTGTCACAGCCCTACTAAGATATCAACGACCAGAGCTGGCCCCCATTACAGTGAGACTAGGCAAGTAATATTTTTGATGTCCCCTGGCCTGGTTAGAATGACCTATGTGATGGTCTCCCGTTCCATACTGTGGCTGAAACAGGGCTGGCCAGCTGATGGCATGTCAGAGCCCATGCTCCACTTTAGTGTCCCTGGAAACGTGGTGACTCAGGTGTGGACATGTGTTGCCTGGGCCAAGTTGCCTCATTAAGGACCATGTTACAGCCCATGTAATTTTTAGGTATCTTATCATTTTAGTCTTGTTTTTGCAAAATCATTTTTGTAGCAGAATCCTCCCCAGTGACGTTCTTGGGCTGTACAGGCTGGGCCAGTCTTGGGCTACTGTGGAACAGGAACAGCTCTCAGCAGGGAAAGCTCTGATTCCCCCCAGCCAGGCACAGTACTGGGAATGACAGGCACACATCTACTGCATCTTCCCCTCAGCCCAAGGGTCCTTGCACTTCATCAATAGTAAATCCTTTGCATTTCTAGCACGCCAAGTGTTTCACAAAGTACAGGAATGATCATTGTCTACACACTACAGAGACAGGGAAACTGAGGGAAGGCCAGGTTAAGTGGCTTGCCTAAGGCTGCGCTGAAGGTCAGAGGCAGATCCAGCAATGGACTCAGATTTCCAGACTCCTATTCCAGTGCACTGCCCACTGGACCTCACTGCCTCTCATCTTTTTTTTTAATTTTTTTAAATCACAAAGTGCCTCTATGTCACTCACTGAAACGCTGCCACAACTGGGGTGAAGCATGGCAGCTGTAGCCAACACCACACCAGAGCAGACTCTGGAAATGAAGAATACCTCCCCACCATGTCTCTAAGAGCAGTTCTAGTTAGACTGTAATCACTCCAGCTGCAATCTGACCCAGTTTAAGAGTAGCCATGGAGGCGGCATATGGGGCATTAGAGACACTAGCAATGAGAAGCCACGTTGCAGCCTGTGGTTGACACAGTTTGCAGAGAGTTAGATGGGAAAGTAACTAATGCACCTACGGGAAATCACTACACCCAGCGTTCAAAACAGCCCTCTCCACCCAACGGCCAGTGGACGAGTGCAAAGGCAAAGAATCAGTGTGGCTGTACTACTATAGCTGTGCTTAGAAGTCCTGGAGTTTTGCTGATCAGGGTCTTTGTTTGCACGCTCAGAAGGGCCTTGTCTATTGTGCAAGTCCATGGCAAACCTACACCAGGTCTGGAAATGCTCTTTGCTGGCTGAGCCTGATTCCCTGGCACCCTGCACCCTGTGCAGTCAGGTACACCAGCACAAAGGGGGGTGAAAGACTCTGAGTCTGATCTGGTAACGTTTTACATGCTGCACCACAAGGTGCAGACTGGAGAATCAGACCCTTCCTGTCTACAAAGGGCTAGAATATTGTCTGTGTGGGCTGGGTTTTTCCAAAGGGGGAGCTAGCCCCCCAACTCCCATTGGCTTTGAGTTGGGTGCATAACTCCTTTTGGAAAGCCCAGCTGTAGTTCTTGGTGCAACGTTTATATTTTATGGAGCTGCAATCTCAGTAAAAAGAATCTGGAAATGAGTCCTTCAATTAAAAAGGCCATACAAATAACAACGGGCTTTAGGAGCGGCTACTGCTACTATCTTTCCAATACCCAGCTACATGGAAATTGCTGGGGAGAAGAGATGATTGAGGAATTGCAACATAGTGTTGACTTCACCTACTGCACCTCCGTACCTGAACACTGTCTACACACCAATACGATTGTGTGGGTCTAAATCCTTGTAACTTATTTTTGCACTGAAGTCAAATGACCAACAAATCACACGCACAAAAAAGCTGCTATAAAATGTCCGCTTTAAGCACAATCACCATCCCTCAGTTATTAGGGCTGGGTTCTCAGCTGGTGTGTACTAACATCAGTGCCCTGCATCTGACGGAGCTACACTGATTTACACCACCCGAGGAACTGGCCCACAGAGCCTCAGGATGCTGAGACGTTTACAAATTAGGAGTTGGTCCTTGGGCTATTGTAAATCCTGCTCCCAGTGCGGGAGTACAGTCCACTCACCGGCTCAACGCAACCCCCTGGCCAGGCTGCATTAACCTGTTAGGTGCCCACTCAGTTACCTGCATTATCTTCTTCTGTTAAGAGTCCACTGAGCTGCATCAGTTGCCTCATTTGGTCTTTGGAGATCTTCAAGTATTTGTCACAATTACACAACTGGCAAAAGGAAGAGAGAGGAAGATTAGAAAGAGGGTGGTAGCTGAGTCCTCTGCCGCTCTGTAGCACCTTCTGTCCAAGGATCTCACAGCATTTTGTAAACCAATGAATTCAGCCTCACAATGGCCCTCTGAGGTTGGTCAGCATCATCAGCATGTTACATCTGGGAAAACTGAGGCATGGGGTCACAGAGTGAGGCTGTGACAGCACTAGGGTAGGACACAGATCTCTGGAGTCCCAGACTTTGACCCTCCTTCTTGTAGTGGAGGGCAATAGGGAAACCCACAAGAGAGTTACGAGATCAGGGGGAAAAAAGCAACACCCCACCGCAACTCATTGCTGCTCACACTGGCTATGCAGCCGGGGTGGCACTCCCAGCCTGCTGCCCGGGTCACAGGGCTGCCACACACTCCTCCAATGACACTGCATCCCCAGACCAGCGTCAGCCACAGAGCTGAGCTGTGCCCTGCGCCAGGCCTGCAGCAACATGCTGCCTGTGCCCACTTTGGGTTCTGCCATGGCCTCCGCACCCAGCTGGCTAGATGGATGTGAATTCTTGACCCTTCTGACAGTGCAGCCCCAGCCCAGGGATTTCAAGGGATCTGTTCAGGCTTCCCCAGCTGCCAGCCAGCTCAAGGAGAAGAGTGGGGTGTCTGTGTGGGTCTGGAGGGAGGCACTCTGCCCCAGCTAGTCACTTACAGCTTCTGATCCACTCCTTGGCAAACCCAGTTTAGAGCTTGAACTCTGGGTCAAAGTCTCAAGAGAAAAAATAGCTGCCCAGCTTTATTGTGTAACGCTCCCATAAAGAATAATGGACTGAGCTGCCCATGAAAAGCCCATGATAGGGCTTATTCATTGAGAGCCCATCATTTAACCTGGCAAATCCAGCAGTGCTCTCTAGGAATCCCCATCCTGCCCCCCAAATACATGAATGCCTTCAACCTTTCATGGCTAGCCAACTCCAGCCCAGCTCAGCACTGGGGGGACAGACACCTGCTGCTTCCTACCCTGGGGGATAGCTTGCTCAGCTGGGACCTGGATGCTGCCATAAAGCACCAGAAGCTGAGACTGTCTGTAAATGTCAGCAGGACCCCAAGAGCCTGAGTTACAGCTTTGAAACTCACTCGTTGGCTCTCCCTATTTGCATAAATAGGCACAGAACTGAAAAGCTTGCTGAGGTAATGAGCTTTCTTAATGGGGCACCGTTTTCTTGCAAATCACTCCTCTGGGACAGATTTGACTTACCACGAGTAACACACATGGGCCTACATTCTCCAAAATGACTAGTGATTTAGGGGTCCCAATCTGAGACATCTTAAAGGGGCCTGGTTTTCAGAAAGCGCTGAGCACTGTGAAAATCTGACCCCTTCATAGTGTGCTGGGGTTGGGCCTCAAGAACTGAACACCACCGTGTCACTCTGCACTCTGCCAAGACTCCTAGCACTGACACTGGAGGAAAAAAATATTTCTCTCTTTTCCAGTCGGATGCGACTGCAGGTAAAACTCCTGGCACAAGTGAAGTCAATGCTCAATCTCCCACTGACCTCAATGGGGCCTGGATTTCACCCTGTTGCATCAGTTTCACTGTTCTCCCTTGTACCGGCATTCCACACAGCAAAAGGGGAGAAAGAAACCATTTAAAACTCAGAACGATGTGACTAATGCCACAAAAATGTACAGAGGGACTCGGGTGTGATTCCCAAAGTGACCTGTAACTCACTAACAATCCCCAAAGGACTAGGCTTCAGGTTGACCAGTCCCTTGAAAGAGCTGCAGCCAAGGCAAGTGATTAGAATGGCGCATGCATTTTAAATGCAGCGAGTTACCTGGTTGGGGACTGATCCAAAGTCTACTGTAGGAAGTGAGAGTCTCACTGACTTCAAAGGGCTTCGGATCAGGTCTTGAGCACTTTTGATATGTTTGTGGAGCATTAACTGGACGGGGCAGAGAGGTCACAGCCGGGGGCTATGGCTCCCCTTCCCCACAAGTGGGAGAATCAGAGAGGAAAGTGGGACAACTATTGGTTAGAAAAAAATATACAACCACACGCAGGGAGGGATGGGGCAGAGCTGTCCCCAGTCAGGCACTCCAAGAAATGAGGCAATAAACCCCAGCCTGCAAATGACTCAGACTGTAAAAGGCCTCTGCCTTCTGCTCTCTGAAGCTGCACCTCAAGCAAAGCCTGAGACAGTGGGTAAAACGGAAAGCCCCAGAGACCGCCATGCAATCGGGGACGAGAACTCTTCAGAGAACTCACTTTCCACGCACTGTGGCAAATGCTTTGAGTTCTCTGATCAGCCACTTCCTTCCAGCCCTGCACGGCTGTTTTGCAGAGTACAAGGTGCCCTGAATGCAGTAACATCAATTTCCCCCCTCCCCTCCTCAGTGCATGGGTCTTGCCACATGGCTGGATCAGATTAGACTGGTTTGGAATCCAGCAGTGACCAAAACCTTTGTAAAGGAAGGAGAATGCCCCCAGGGTTGCTGGCCCGTTGAACTGTACTGTACAGGGAGGGCTGGAAGGAAGCCTCCCCTCAGACCTTGTTTATGCCCTTCAGTAGAAAAGCTGATTAGGTTATAATTTTAGGGCCAGATTCTGTGATTCTCTCTGCGTGGGGGAGAGAGAAAGCAGGGAGCTCCCTTGCACACCTGGTCTGTGGCAAAGCTCCCACTGACTAACCTCAAGTGAGTGCACTGGGGAAGTCAGATACCCCAAAGGGGGTGTGGCTGAGTAAGGATGGCCCCAGGGCCACACCCCTTTCTGCACCAGCTAGTGGCTCAAAAAGGAGTGTGGGAACCACACCTCTGTGCCCTGGAGGCCTGGTGCAGGGAGCCTCCCACCCACTGACGGTGTTGGGGGCTCCCTGAACCTCTCCCTACCGTGGCAGTGACTCTAGAGACCATGATAGTGGCCTTGGTTTGCAAAGCTACCCAGGGTATTATCCACTGAACCCAGAGCTGTGGGAAGGGAACAGTGCAGCCCCAGACTGGCTTCACTGGCTCCTTGTGGATAGACCACAGAACAGCCTGACAGGCAAGCGCTCTGCATACTTGAGGCCTTGTGTGGACTCCAATGCACACAACCTGCCAATGCCCTGCAGCTTCCTCTCTTGTCAGCAGGCTCAGACAAGGCCGTCAGCCCGTGGTCACAGTAGGGTTACCATATTTCAGCAAGCAAAAAAGAGGATGGGAGGAGCCCTGCCCTAGCCCCGCCCCTGCCCCTCCCACTTCCCGCCCCCCTCAGAACCCCCAACCCTCCCCCCCGCTCCTTGTCCCCTGACTGCCCCCTCCTGGGACCCTTGCCCCTAACTGCCCCCCAGGACTCCACCCCCTACCTAAGCCTCCCTGCCTCTTGTCCCCTGACTGCCCCCTCCTGAGACCCTCCCCCCATCCTAACTGGCCCCCTAGTACCCTACCCCCCACCCGTACCCTGACTGCTCCAATCCTTATCCACACCCCCACCCCCAGACAGACCCCTGGGACTCCCACACCCCATCCAACCACTCCCCACCCCCTGACAGCCCCCCCCCAGAACTCCTGACCCATCTAAACTGGGAGGCGTGGTAGATACACAAGAGGGTAGGGATCGGATACAGAGGGACCTAGACAAATTAGAGGATTGGGCCAAAAGAAACCTGATGAGGTTCAACAAGGACAAGTGCAGAGTCCTGCACTTAGGACGGAAGAATACCATGCACTGTTACAGACTAGGGACCGAATGGCTAGGTAGCAGTTCTGCAGAAAAGGACCTAGGGGTCACAGTGGACGAGAAGCTGGATATGAGTCAGCAGTGTGCTCTTGTTGCCAAGAAGGCTAATGGCATTTTGGGCTGTATAAGTAGGGGCATTGCCCAGCAGATCGAGGGACGTGATCGTTCCCCTTTATTCGACATTGGTGAGGCCTCATCTGGAGTACTGTGTCCAGTTTTGGGTCCCACACTACAAGAAGGATGTGGAAAAATTGGAAAGAGTCCAGCGGAGGGCAACAAAAATGATTAGGGGGCTGGGGCACATGACTTATGAGGAGAGGCTGAGGGAACTGGGATTGTTTAGTCTCCAGAAGAGAAGAATGAGGGGGGATTTGATAGCTGCTTTCAACTACCTGAAAGGGGGGTTCCAAAGAGGATGGAACTCAGCTGTTCTCAATGGTGGCAGATGACAGAACAAGGAGCAATGGTCTCAAGTTGCAGTGGGGGAGGTCTGGGTTGGATATTAGGAAACACTATTTCACTAGGAGGGTGGTGAAGCACTGGAATGGGTTACCTAGGGAGGTGGTGGAGTCTCCTTCCTTGGAGGTTTTTAAGGCCCGGCTTGACAAAGCCCTGGCTGGGATGATTTAGTTGGGAATTGGTCCTACTTTGAGCAGGGGGTTGGACTAGATGACCTCCTGAGGTCCCTTCCAACCCTGATACTCTATGATTCTATGATAAACCCCTCTGCTCCCTGTCCCATTGACTGCTCCGATCCCTCTCCCCACTCCAGCCCCCTGACAGCCCCCCCCCCAGAACTCCCAACCCCTCCTCGCTCCTTGTCCCCTGACTGCCCCCTCCTGGGACCCCTGCTCCTAACTGCCCTCCAGAACCCCACCCCCTACCTAAGCCTCCCTGTTCCTTGTCCCCTAACTGCCCCCTCCTAAGACCCCCCCAACTGCCCCCCAGGACCCTACCCCCTATCTGTACCCCGACTGCCCAAAACCTTATCCACACCCTCCCCCAGAAAGCCCCTCCCGAACTCCCGACCCCCCCCCGTCTCTTGACTGCCCCCTCCAAAGCCTCCCTGCCCCTTCTCCGAACCCCTGGCCCCCTTGTTGTTGGCCTTTGCCTAATGTCTCTGTGAACTTGCTCAGGAACGACCTGAGCCGTTCGTCCCGGCAGGCTGGCTGGCGGGGGAGGAGCTCCAGACTGCCGGAGGCGATCTGCGAATGCAGAGAGGGAGGGAGTGATCTTTGCTGCAGGGGGGAGGAGGGGCGCTCTCTCTGGCTGTCGGAGCCTCATGTAAGTGG